GGGGGGGACGAACCTTCGTCTCATAGCCAGTCAAGAATCCGAGGTTCTTCGAGTGCTCGATAATACCTGCATTATCACCCTCAGATGCAGCAACAATGACTCTGAGATAGTCGTCCACAAATTGTCTTGGGTAGTCTCTTGAAGCACCAAAGTCTAGCAGGACAATCTACGTAACAAAAGGGTATAGAAGACTCAATAGGTGACCTTAATAAGGGCTTAATAGTGAAAGGAATAAAAGAGGAAAAGATGATTACCTTGTCAGGATTTTTGCAGTAGAGGAAATTGGACCAATTGGGATCCGTCTGCATGCAGTTATAGACGAAAACCTCCAGAAGGCAAAGACGAAGGATGTTTTCACCAATCTAAACAGATTAAAAATTAAATGTCAACATGGGCATATCATCCCAATTTCAAAATGCGTACCAAGAAGATAGTTATTGAATACGAGTGAATGGAAAGGTTTGAATTTGGGCGTGTTTGGATAATTTTCACATCAATTAAATATACCAGAATAGGTTATAAATGAAAGACATATTATACTGCCCTTCGCATTGACAACAGGACATGAGCCTAAGAGCATTGCTCCAAAGCTCTGTGATTGGGCAGATGCACTACTACGACCCCCCGACCCCCGCTTCGGCACACAGAACTTAATTGGGAGTATTTTGTTAATACAAACAAATAGTCTAAAATTATGTAAACTTGAAGAGTTTCGACAGTGGTAGAGTATCAACCATTTTGTGTCATAAGATGAAATGTGTATACACTACACAATGAGTATAATTGGGATTCCATTATTGAAATATCTTAGGAGATTGTCACTGACAGCGAACACTGAGAAGGTAGGGTTTACGTACCCATAGACGATAAATAGACCACAGAATTTGGTTAAATCTATCGTCGTCCTGAAAGAGACCTGTCACGTTATTCACCCGCCCTTCATCGGCTTTAGCTCATATTTAGTTAAAAAATAAGGGGCCTATATATTCACCCCTATAATTAGCAGATAAATATAGGATAACATAAAACTAATAGGATCAATGTCAGACAAAAAAGGAATTTAAGGAAGTCAAAATGTAATTTCCGTAAACGCTCTCCGTGAAATGGGAACACAAGCGAGCTAAATTTGATGTCAATGAAATGGGAAAATATCCAAACGCAAAAATGTCTAACAGGGAGAAAATATCATTGATTAGTTAAAAAAAATGTCATCCAGTGGACAGCCCTATGTTAAGTTTAACCAAATCTAGATTAATCAACCAAGTGCACTCACCCGGTTTCGAACTTCCTGTGGAAGGTCAACGCAATCATCTAATACCAGCCCATCAAAGAATTCAGTTGTGAAGACTTTTTCAGTAGACAACTCGTCGTAAACTTTGGGCACGATAAATGCAGGATCATTCTCAAGAAGCCTGGCAAATTTCTTGGCAAAAGCAGCCTCCCGGATGTAATCACATTCCCACTTGAGTTCCTTCTTTGCCGTGCGGATGGCTGAATCAGCGTACATTCCGCGAGGGAGGAAGTTGAAACGCTTTAGAAGCATACTGATGTTGGCCACATCAGTGTCTATACTCTTAGCCACACCAGGATATTGGATTTTCATAGCCAGACGCCTAAAAGAAAAGAAAGGCCAATTATAACCACTTATTCACTTTAATATGAAAACACGAAGACCACTGAGAACAGTCAGAAGCAATAATAAATAGCACTAACTTGAACAAATTTTTTGAAAGGGTTACTGGAAATCAGGTTATACAGGTAAATTTAAATACAAAAAAGACTAACATTAGCTAGAGAAATATGCAACGATCAAAGATGAAAAAATGGAACAAGGCCCAAATTAAAGAAATTCAAAGTGTACAATGCGAGTAAACTGCTCCATAAGTTGGTCGTACCAAAACATAGATAAAAGCGATAATATGTACACTATTATTATAGCGTACAAGTGCAATCAAACTTACGTTCCATCAGGAAGGGAAGCCATGTGGACTTGTCCGATACTTGCAGCAGCAAAGGGCTTCTCATCGAATGAGGCCAACTTGTCCTTCCAATTGGGACCCAATTCTGCATCTATAACCGAGTACATCTGTGAAGTAGGCATAAAATCCGCTGACTGTCGAACTCTCTCAAATATACTCTGAATCTTCGGGCTGACAAGGGAACTGTCTAAACAAGGCACGTAATGGGCGAAATTAAAGGCCAAAGTACCTTGAATACTTAGCATTTGACCAAGTTTAAGAGCTGCACCACGCATACGACAGAGAGTGTCAACAATTCTTTCTAAGTTAGCATCGTTTAAAAAGAGATTGGAATCGAGTTTATTGTCTGAAGCACCAAGAGAACGCTTTGCGTATTCAGTCATAGCGCCAATGCCCAGTCCCACAAAAAGATCTAAACGTCCTGATAAAAACGAGCATTTTAATTACTTCCAAAGCCAGTAGCTCTGCCTATCCGAGAAGCAGGAACATGGCGTTGCTTAGATGTTGAAAGCGCCTTCTTTTTCTTATCTGGATGATTAGATGAATCAGCAATGGAGGTAGAGAAATTGCGAGCTCTTGTCGAGAAATCTGGACGAGTAGTGTAATCACAGATTGCTTCTGGAAGCCTGCATTTGCGGCTACTAGTTGGAGACTTAGGATAATTATTATTGCAAATTTGGAGGCAGTTATTAAATCCGACCAATTTTATGAATAGTTTTAGGTTAGCTGCTTGTACAGATGTTGCAGCACTTAAGACACTAGTCGCACCACGCAAAACACTAACACAGTCTGATGAAAATATCTTAGTTATCATAATGACCACCCAAGATACTAAAACCGTACCGCGGCAACTCGTATTAACGCAAAAATATTCAAGAGTAAAAACAAATTAAATAAGTTCATCATTTCTACAATTTTTGTCCAACTCTATTAACTATTAAATTCTCTTTCATATATGGAAAAAATTGAACTAAAAGTTGGTTACTTTTAGAAGTACCAAAGGAAAATTCAGGATTAAGTGTCAGTACGCTGGCTAAATATATCATGTATGGATGAAAATTTTCCAAATTACAATCTCTAATTAACGCTCAGATTTCTTCAAGAGAATTAGCTAACGATGATGATTCCGTAAAAGTTAGTTATACTCGCATTCTTTGCAAACGATAACTAAAGCCACTTAACTTCGATACCTACTATGTTAGTGATACTCTGGTCTTATCCTAATGAATTTTGAATTAACTTCATACAGGAGAGCTCTGCGTGAGGCATATTCATTTTCCTCAGCTAGTTGAAATTCTAAGAGGTCTATTAACATTTTGTCACAGGCTTATCTTTGCTGAATTCTCCACAAGAGATAGACTTGATATCATTCTTGAGATACAAAAAAGATATACTCGATTTTCGAATGCACGTCTTTTTGTTGAACCTTAGTCTTTTCGATGTTGACAAGTAAACTGCGTTGTTTTACTTCCTATTTGTCGAATAATTAATTTCTTTAGCGCCCACCACATCACTTTAAAAATTCATCACATCATAAATTAAAGGCCATGATTTATATTTTAGTACTTTTACGTAACATAACTTTTAAAGGCAATATGAAGTTGCATTGTAACCATTCTGAACTTCGTATGAATTAATCAAACAACCTTGAGATTCTTAAGTAATTTCGAAGGGCAGGGTAATTGTTGTCATTTTTACACCACGATTTTACATATGTTACTGTATATTTGTGCAAACAACTTAAGTTTGAAAATTAGCTTTGTGAGATATTCGATTTTAAAGAATGTTATTGAACTAATTATTTTATAAATTGCATGTCCCTAATTATTTTAAGATCTATTGATACTTGGCTTTCAAAATATGCTTTGTCAAAAAAATGAAACGAGAGTGCTTTTACAGTTAGAGCTAAATAATGAGAATTGAAGAAGATGAACATAAATTAGAAAATGAATATATTGGAATTCTTTTAAGAATGCTTGAATGCAAAACTGTCTACGAATGTATCCAAAAGGTAACATGATACTAATTTTCTATTTGGGTATGGCATTGTATCACAACTTAAACTGATTTTTGTGTAATAGATCAAGGTACTCGTTTGCGATTATGAGTCATTGAAGATAAAAACAATCAAATTATCTGACATTGATAATTTATTCGAATTTGAAAGGAAGGCGGCACGAGAAACCATTCTTCGTCTTACTGGAGAGTTAAACAAATCAATCATGGATCGAGAAGCTGCTGAGTTAGAAATGAGGAAAGCTAAAAAAGTAAGTAGATTATTTTAGTAGGCATATTAAAATTTTCGACATTTAGTTTTATTTTTATTTGGAACTTATTTATTTCAAACGGCAGGCCTTTTGATAGTTATCATTAGCCCTTATTTGACTTCGGGCTTCACAGAAGGGAGGAACATCAAAGTGAGAAAAATTCGACAAGGGAAAAGAATAGCGTTTCACAGATGTAAAAGAGACAGACAGACACAAAGGCAGAGAAAAGGCTAGATGAGTACTAAATGCTCTCACTTCAATAAATTCGTACTGTTTCTTTCTCATTTTATTGATTTCACTATGTAATTTACTGGTTAATTTGTTGATTTTCTCTTAATTAGGATTAGTTTCAGACTTTCCCTTCTAAAATAAGATTTAATTGCAGTTTAATTTTTCAATGAATTCTTACTTACCTCAAATAGTTCATTCATTTTTTACTCGTGCAAAAACTCATTTTAAGTCTACAGAAGTAAGAAATAATCAATAACTTTGACTATTTTTTCAAATATGACGACATTATAAGGCTTTTAATTTAGTTATATGTGACTGTAGAATTATTGAATATTTAGTTTCTGTCATTTTCATTTTTTTGTCATAGTGTTACAATTTTTGAGACTTAT